AACTACTTGGGAGGCTGAGGCAAGAGAATCACTTAAGCCCAAGAGTTTGAGGTTGCTGTGAGCTGTGATGCCACAGCATTCTACTGAGGGCAACACAGTGAGACTGTCTCAAATTAAAAAAAAAAAAAAGGTGTGGGCTGGTCATAATAAGTAAATAAATTAAAATTTTAGGTTGGGTACAGTGGTTCACACCTATAATTCTAGTACTGTGGGAGGCCAAGGCAGGTGGATTGCTTGAGGTCATGGGTTCAAGACCAGCCTGAGCAAGAGGAAGACCTGTCTCTCTGAAAAATAGCTGGGCAGGCGGCTCCTGTGGCTCAGTGAGTAGGGCGCCAGCCCCATATACCAAGGGTGGCAGGTTTGAACCTGGCCCTGGCCAAATTGCAACAAAAAGAGTCAGGCATTGTGGTGGGCGCCTATAGTCCCAGCTACTCAGGAGGCTGAGGCAAGAGAATCGCCTAAGCCCAAGAACTGGAGTTTGCTGTGAGCTGTCACACCACAGCATTCTACCAAGGGTGACAAAATGAGACTGTCTCTAAAAATAAATAAATAGAAATAAAAAATAGCTGGGCATTGCAGTGGGCTCCTGTAGTCCCAGCTACATGGGAGGCTGAGGCAAGAGGATCACTGGACCCCAAGAGTTTGAGGTTCCTGTGAGCTAAGAGGCCATGGCACCAGGGTGACAGAGTAAGACTTTGTCTCAAAAAAAAAAGGCAGTGCCTGTAGCTCAGTGGGTAGGGTGCTAGCCATGTGCACCAAGGCTGGCAGATTTGAACCAGGCCCTGGTCAGCTAAAACAACAATGACAACTGCAACAAAAAAAATAACTGGGCATTGTGGCAGGTCCCTGTAATCCCAGCTACTTGGGAGGCTGAGGCAAGAGAATCATTTAAGCCCAAGAGTTTGAGGTTGCTACAAGCTGTGATGCCACAGCACTCTACCAGGGGCAACATAGGAAGACTCTGTCTCAAAATACATAAATAAAATAAAATTAAAAATAATAAAGAAAAAAATGTAGTTGGCATACACTGAGCCCTACTGTGAGCCTCGTACTATTTATTTCCTGACATGAGCCGTCTCATGGAGCCCTCTCAACAACCCCATTTTACAGATGAGGAAACTGGAGGCTCGAGCCCTCTCAACAACCCCATTTTACAGATGAGGAAACTGGAGGCTTAGAAAGGGATGTAGGTGATTGGTCATGATTTTATAACTGTGAGGACTGGACAAGCTACAGTGGGGTCCAAGGCATGGTCTGCCCAGCCCCCACCTCTTCTACTGCCCTCTGGAAGCTCCCAGCTCACCTCCAGCTCCACCACTCACCTGCTGCCTCTTCTTGATCTCCTCATCAATAATGTTCACAATTTTCTGCAGCCTGATCTCATCCACAAAGCCATCACCGTTCTGGGCATAGAGAGCAAAGAGTATAATCATGCCCTCCCCCCCAGGCCCCCAAACCACCCTCCCTTCCTCCCTGCCCAGTACCCTTGCTCTGAATCACCTTCTTGGAATGGACCAATTTCCCGTCCACAAACACTTCAAATTCCCCTGTAGCCTGGGCAGCTCTGCCCTCCTCCTGAGGAGGGAAGGTTGCATGGGAGATGCTGAGAACTCCCTTCTAAATTCCTTGGAGAACTCAGAACCCTGACCCACAGCCCCTCCACCCAGCCCCTCCAGGCTACCAGTACACTTACGAAGAGCAGACGATTTGGAAAATGGTGCTCCAGATTCTGTCTCAACAGAATGTACTGGGAGGAGAGGGGATCATGTGGTCACAGGATTATAAGCTCACAGGGAAGGGGACCCAGGAACCTATGTCTTCATGCCCCATACTCCCCACACCTCCAAAGCCAAAGCTACTCACCTGAAGGCCATAGCTTCAGAGGCCACTGGAGGCCAAGGACAGGAGGAGGGAGGCATAGAGAGACCAGGACAGGCATTGCATCAATATCTCCCAAGTCCAGGGTGACCTTATGGACACTGAGTCAGATCATGTCCCTCCCTGGCTCAGAGTCTTTTCAGTAGCATCACCTTACTTAGGAAAAACCTACAGTCCTCCCCAAGGCCCACGTCCTACCAGGGTATCTGCCCCCTCATCCCCATGTCTCAATCTCTTCCCACTCCCCCCACCTTATGTGCCCTCCTCCAACCAGAGACCTCCTAGCTCCTCTTCTAACACCCTCTAGACACACCCTGCCTCAGGGCCTTTGCACTGGCGGTTCCCTCTGCAAAATGCTTTTCCTGTCCCCACACTCCTTCTCTCCCCTCCTTCAAGTCTTATGCTCACATATCACCTTCTCAATGAGGCCATCCTGATCACCCCAACTACAGTTGCAACTCCCACGACATCTTTTGTCCACAGGACTGATCACCTCCCCACATAAGAGATCATTTTCTATGTGTTATATCATTGTGTATCACCTGCCCCTTCCCACCAGCATGTCAATACCACAAGGACAGGGATCTCTGTCTCGTTCACTGCTGTGTCCCTGGTGCCAAGAACAGGGCCAGGAACATGGTGGGTGCTTAAGTAGTTGTTGAATGAATGAATGAATGGATAAATGAATGAATCCATGGAGTCAGAGGAAGAGACAGAAAGAAGACATGGGGAGAAAAAGAGAAGGGAGGTGAGGGAACCAAGATAGGGAGAAGAAGAAAGAGATACACATATAACCTAGGGAAGGGAAAAGAGAGTGAGGAGGGGGGAAAGACCAGAGAGAGATGGCTGACTGAGATGGGAAAGGGGAAGGTGAGTCAGGAAAGATCAGGGCAGAGAGCCTTCCAGGGCAGGAGAGAGGCCTGGGGATCAGAAAGAACTAAGCCCCCATCATCCTGGCCGAATTCAGCCCCAGGTCTCAGAGAGGTCAAGAAAGATTATTACTATGACTGTTGTATTACTGTTGTTACTTTTGCAGGTGACCAAAGAGAGGCTCTGCTCTGGGTCCACAAATGAAAACTTTGGCCTTTGCACTTGATGCTGCCACTACTTTGTTACCTTGACCACTTTCCCCCAGTCTCCTTAGCACCCTTTTTCTTCTCCTACTTCTCCTCCTCCTCCCTTCCTCTCTCCCTCCTCTTTTTCTTCCTGAATGAGAAGTGATAGTTCAAGCACCAGACAGGTTGCCCTTGACCACCCAGTCTAAAGATCACACCCTCCTCCTCCCTCCCTTGGGGAGCTCATCTCCCTTCACCAGAAGGTAGCTGACTACAGGCCTGTATCCCAGCACTCCATCCCTTGAACAGGTCCGGCACATGACCGCAGGGCACTCAGAAATGAATGAATGAATGAATGAATGAATGAGAAAGGATGAATGAAACGCAGAGCAGAGCAGAAATTTGAACCCAGATCACTCCACCCTCAAAGAGAACAAGGGATGGAATCAACTTTCCAACTCCTGGGTGCTATCTGACTCCCTCCTCTGATCCTATAAGCAGTTCCAGACCCTGACTACCCCGGCCCAACCCTTTCCCCCTGGAGAGGAAGGCAGGTGTGATTGGGGGCAGCCCCTCACCAGTAGACCACTCGAATCAAGATTCTGTTGTCCATGTGAAAGCTCTCACTGGTGGAGGCTGTTGATTCGGTAGAAAGCGGTAAGGCGAAGTTCGAGGGGATCAGAGGGGGGAGGTGCGTCAACTTAGAGGCCGAAGGGTTGGTCTTCTGGATGGGCTCCAGGATAAGCTCCGGGGTATCAGTGCGGAACGGAATGAACGCAGGAACGGGTTCTTGGATGGGCCTGGCTGATAGTCGGACATCTCTCACAGGATCCTCGTCAGGCGACGAAGGTGGCTCCAAAGCAGGTTCCCGGGGCGGATACAAAAGTAGGGCGGGGTTCGGGTGGGATTCTGAGGCAGAGACCTTGGCGACGACTCGGGTTGGGTCCAGGGTCGGGGTAGGGGTCAGGGACGGGGCCCAAGCCGGAGCTGGAGCCCAGGCTGGGGTTGGGGCCTGGGTGGGGGCCGAGGCCGGGGGCGAGACCCAGACTGGGACTGGAGCTGGAGCCCAGACTGGGGCTGGGGCTGGGGCCTGGGCAGGGGTCGGGCCCCGGGGCGGGACCCGGACTGGGGCCTGGGCCCGGGTTGGGGCGGAGACCGAGGCCGGGGGCGGAAGCCGGACTGGGGCCTGGGCTGGAGAC